GACGTAGGTTTGCTTGAAGCAGCTTGGAGGCAGGCCAGTACCCAGCCTCCCTAAAGATGAAGATGGAGCTTTTCAAGTGTTTTGCCCCTTGAAATTGTGGGCTTTACAGGGGTCTCCAAGGGTCCTGTCTGCACTGCTAGACACCTAGCTAGCCTCAGTCAGCCTAGTCCCGATAGCCTTGGCAGGAGCTGTGCTCCAGGCAGCAGGAGAAGCCCTCTGGGTTGGGGTCTTCATTAGCTCCCTGGGCTTGGGGCCACCTTGAAGCTCTCTGCTTTCTGCTCCCACCAGGGCTGTGCCCAGTTGGTTTGGGGCAGGGGGAAACCGGCTCTGCCTGTGCATCTCACAGCATTTCCTTTCATGTGCCCATCAGCCTCTCCAGAGAGCATGCCCATCTGTGAGCAAGACGTGGAGGAGCAGCTCACCACCTTGGACAGCCTCATCGCCCAGGCCCCACTGCTGGCAGTGGGAGCCACGGAGCAGCAGATGCTTCGGCAGTGAGTTCCCATCTTGTGCTGTTCCCGCCTGTGCAGCGCCTGCTGCATGCTGCTCACTCCTCCCCTTCCCCAACAGCAAACTCGGGGAGCTGGAGAAGACACTGGCCAAGGTGGAGCTTGAAGGGCAGAACCAGACGTTCGGGAAGGCCACTGTGCATGCAACTGTCTTGAGGGTCCAGCCCACTCAGGCTCCTCAGCACCTGGCCTTTGCTTCCCAAAGAGAGGTGGGTCCTGGGCAGCCTGCTCTGGTGGTCTTGGTCCACCAGCATCTTCTCCCAGCCTCTCTCCTGATGAGTCTGTCCTTGCAGGGGGGTGGAGAGGTCCATGGATTCACAGTGGACCTGCCAAGCAGCCTGTTCCTGATGGCAAAGGAGAGAGAGGACATGGTGGAGCACAGGGTGCTCGTCATGGACATCAACAGCCAGACCATGTTCCAGGTGATGCCCATGCACATGGCATGGTAGGCTGTCCTCGCCATGCCAGGGGCTCCAGTGGTACAGGGCAGCAGGGATGCTGCCCAGACCAGGATGCTGGTGCTCGCTTGGCACCAGCTTCAAAGATGAGGTAGAAGAAAGAAAGATGAGCTCATCTTGCTTCAAAGATGAGCTAGAAGCTTGACAGAGGCATGGGGCCTCTTTCTTGGGGACTCTCACCTGCTTCATGCCCACCAGCAATCCTTTCCCATGATGCCATCGCCTCCTCTTCTCCCACAGGATGAAAACAGCAGCCATGTCCTGGGTGACAAGGTGGTTGGCATCTCCCTGGTGGACACGGTGGTGGCCAATCTCTCCGACCCAGTTGTCCTCACTTTATTCCATGACCAGCTGCCGGTAGGTGGGGAAACCGCCTCATCAAACCTGGTGCCACCAGGAATGGAGGGACAAGGAGGGTCCAGGCCTTGCCAGCTTAGAGAGTGGTCACCATCCAGCAGGTCCATGCCTGTGCAGGGTCTACTACATCTTCTGGGGCTGTATCATGATCATGGCTTCACCCTGTGCACTGGTGGTGGCGCTGCGTGCTCCTGTCCAGGGGATGCTGGTTTGCATCTCCAATGTCCAGGGCTGGGGGACACTTTGAGTTAACAGTCCCTTGGCTTGTTCATGGCCCTGTCAGGCACCTGCTGAAAGCTGAACCCCTTCTTTGAAAAAAGGGGACCTGGGAGGAAGTATCTGCTCTGAGCTGCCAAGAGAACAGTCTCCGCCTGGAGCCCGCTGCCATGATATGGGACGGTTTGTCTCCAGAGACCATCTTGCCTCCTGCCCCATATTCTTTCTTATCAAATGTGCTGGCCAGGCAACAAACCCACGGCTGCATCCTGATCATGGCCTGTGGTTTTCTCATTGCAGAGGAATGTGACCCCGCTGTGTGTCTTCTGGCAGGAGGACATCACTGGTGAGTGCTCCTGCACTTGAATGTGAAGCCAGGTACTGCCTTTGCTCCTTTTGCAGGGTACCACAGACCTGCTGGTAGGGGTACAAGTTGCTCTGCACCTCCCTTCCTTGCTCCAGCTCCATAAACCTTTCCCATGGAGTTGATGTCAGGTTTTTGTCCTCCATAGCTAACCTAAGAGCTTTCTCCTTCCCTAGGGATGGGTCCTGATGCTGAGGGTGCTATCTGAGTGTGTATGCTTGGCATGGGACAAGCTAGGACCCCCACTTTTGTCCTTCCCCCCTGCCACGGGCACCTTGCCCTGAAGATCCACAAACCTGAAGCAGATGTTCTTGCTGCTCACCAGAAGCTCTCCCTTTCTCTTGCGCAGCCAGCTCTGGAAGATGGGACAGCTACGGTTGTACAACAGTGGCGGTGCCCAGCCAGACGGACTGCAGATGCAACCACCTCACCTACTTTGCCGTGCTGATGGTGGGTCACACCTTCCCATAGCTCCCTACATCTTTCCCACCGGCTGTTCTTCCTCACCACATCTTGTTCTTCCTTCTTCTCAGGTATCCTCCCCAGAGATCACCTACATCCACAGGGATTACCTGAGTGTCATAACCTACATCGGCTGCCTGATCTCAGCTTTGGCATCCATTTGCACCATCTTCTTCCTCTACTTCAGGTATGGTCTGACAGGTCACCCCACACGCCGTTTGCGTCCTGTCCATTGCTACTACACCTGGGTGGGCACAAGTTCTCCAAATGCCGTTTGTGGCCTGGCTAGAAGCATGATGAAGGACCAGTGCTTGAAGAAAGAGGAGTTCTCCTCCCCAGAAACCACCCTCTTCGTCAGATCTCCAACAGGGCACTCAAAACCATCTGTTTTCAATGATTTTGCAAAATCAGCGTGGTTGCTGTTATGGATCCAGCAAGCAGAAGCCTGCAAGGATCTTTTCAATGACTCAGTGGAGAGCATGAGTGTCTTCTCTTGAGTCATGTCACTGATCCTACATGGATGATTCAGAGCTGAAATGATGTTGCTCCCTACCCCACAATGGCCTAGACCTGAAGGTCACCTGCAGGGACTTGAATTTGCGTGTGTAACGGGTGGTCCTACCTGTGGGGTTAGGCTCTCAGCCCTTGACAGCACCAGAGTGTCTCCTGGCTCTTCTGGTGGGGGCAAGTTGCCCCATGCAGAGCTGTGGGGTGTTGTGGGACACTGCGGATGCTGGCCAAGCACAGTGGTGAGGTCTTCTTCCCCTTGCTTCTCCAGAAGCAAGCAGCGAGACCAGATCACAAGCATGCACATCCACATGAACCTGCTGGGCGCCATCTTCCTTCTGGATGTCACCTTCCTCATCTCCGAGCACTTAGCTTCCAGCAGCAGTGAGGCAGTCTGCAGAGCCGGCGGGCTGTTCCTGCACTTCTCCCTCCTGAGCTGCCTCACCTGGATGGGCATCGAGGGCTACAACCTCTACCGGCTTGTGATTGAAGTCTTCAACGCCTACCATGACCACTTCCTCCTCAAGCTCTGCCTGATGGGCTGGGGTGAGCATGGGGGAAGGAGAGACACCCTGAAGGCAAGGGCAACAGGGTGGAGGGGCACCTGGGTAGGTCTTTTCCACTGTATACGGTGCCTGGACGGGGCTGGAGATATAGCTGTGGGGGAGCAGATGTCAGAGAGCAGAGAGGTCTCTCTGTCAAGAGACTCGGTGGAGAAGGAGCCTCAGTGGCTGAGAGCAGAAGTTGGTGCTAGAGCAAGGGTGGGTCACCCTGGGGGTCACCCAGCAAGGGAGGCATGTGAGAGGCACTGCTTGGGGTCTTTAAATAGTAATGGGGTGCTCTCTTTCTGAAAGAAACATCCAGGACAGCCCAGAGAGATGGGCTTGATGCGCTAAGCACCCATGCATCTCTGCTGTGCTTTGGGCAGAAGATCTCATGATCTTTTGTGGCCTAAAATTCCATGACCCTGGGAGACCTCCAGCTGCAGCTGGTGCAGCACAGCTCACTCCTGGGCCAGGGCTTACCCCAGGCGTTTTTGTTGCATGCTCCATCCTCAGTTCCCCCTTGGGAAGGAGGACGTTGGTTTGTAGTCTATATGGGGAGAAAGGGGCAACAAATCCTTCCAGAAGGACCAAGGGCACAGGACTAGGGTGGCCACTTTGCTCTGTTCTCACCACGCAGGACTCCCCTTCTTCTGCGTGATGCTGATCTTCCTGGCTAGCTGGACGAACTACGGCCCCTTCTCCATTCCCGTCTATGAATCCGTTGGTGGTAAATCTACCAACGCAACCATGTAAGTTATGGGAAATGAGTTGCCTAGTCCCTGCTCTTAGATAAAGTCAACTGGCTAAACCTTCACCATGTCCTACAGGCTTTCCTTAGCCCACCTGTGGCCTTCTAGGGCTTTGTGCAGGGTGGTGGTGGGGCGTCTCCCCTCCCTGTTTAACTAAGCTGGGTGCTGGGTTTGCACCACACTGTCCTGCTTCCCCCAACCCCTCCAACTCATGGGATGACACAGCATAACCCTTTGCCCTTTCTCCTCCCCCTAGATGCTGGATCACAAACCCCCTGATCCACAACGTCGTGAACCTGGGTTTCTTCAGCCTGGTGTTCCTCTTTAACTCAGTCATGCTGGGGGCCATGGTCCGGGAGATCCTCCGGCAAAACAAGAAAGGCCACAAGCTCAAGCATGTCCTCGCCCTCTTCGGGTTGAGCATCCTGCTGGGAATCCCCTGGGCCCTGGTCTTCTTCTCCTTCACCTCTGGCGTCTTCCGCCTCGTCTCCCTCTACATCTTCACCATCATCAACTCCCTCCAAGGTGAGCCTGGGACGCTGGGCTTCTCCGAAGGGCACTGGGGCTTTCACGGGTTATTGATGGGGTGGTGATGGGGTCCGAGAGAGGCCATCCCTGGCAGGCTGGCTGCCTCGCTCTTGGCTGTTCTTGGTCCCTTGAGGAGGTTCACCCACCCTTCTCTCCCAGGTTTCCTCATCTTCCTCTGGTACTGGACCATGGTGCTGCAAGCGAGAAAGTCCCCTGACTCACAGAGCAGCTCTGACAGCGTCAAACTGCAGCCCAACGGCAGCCAGAGCCACTTCAGCTGAGCCCCACAATGGCTGCGCCACACCATGCCGGGGCTCCCCGCACGTGGGAAGGCACTGCTGTGGGAAGGACCAACGCCATCCGCTTTGCTACCGCATCCACCTTGTAGGGCTGCCAGGAGCCCAGGGACCCGCAGTGGGGCCGGCCACCCCTTGCCTCTGCTGGCCCTCTCCCCAGTTTTCCCACCCACCACATCCCACTGGGCAGCAGCGCATCCCTCAGCTTGGCATCCTTGGGGCAGGAGGGAGGGATGCTCACCTGGGCAGTGGGAGCTGCAGAAAGTGGAAGGGGCAGGGACAGGGTCCCCGGTGCCTCCGGGCGTCCCCTTCTGTGCCCCAAGGCTAGGGATGATGGGTGGGAGAGGCCCCATCTTCAGCCCTTGCTGGTGGTCACCGAGAAGTGAAGACCGAAGTCCCCAGTGAAGACAGTAATTCTTCCCCTGTGACATCCTCTAGCAGCTGAAATAATCTATTTTTTTTATTTTGTTGAATGTCTATTTTTGGATGGTGTAGAAGTTTAACGAGCGCACTTGCACACCAGACCTGTGCCCATTAAAGTTGTTCCTGCTCGGAGCACGACTTGCGGGGGTCTCTCTGCTGGGCACTTTGGTGGGCTCTCTGATGGGGTCCGTCCCTCGGCCGGGTTGTCCCATCTGCAGGGCAGGACCTGGTGTTTCACCCCGTAGGATCCTGCTGAGCTGGGAGCAGAAACGGCGCTCCCGGTAGAGCACTGGTACCCCGGTACCATAGGGGTCGGGGTGATGGAGGGGGATGTTGCGGCTCAGGAAGCTGTTGCAGTCTCTGTCACTACCCAGCAAAGAGGGAGGCCAGCGGAGGCCAGGAATCAAAGAGGGAGGCTTTGCAGGATGGGAGTTGCATCTCCCATCCCACCAGTTCCCTTTCCCATCAATGTTCCGCTTGCAGCTCATCCCCCTCTGCCTGGTGCCCAAGCTGCACAGGGACATTCCCGAGAAGGGAATGTTTCACCCCCGGCAGCAATGCCTGGCAGCGTACCCTGTTTGGGAGAGGGATGCCCTGTCGCGTCGCTGGTCTGGTGGGGGGCATCGGCCAAGGATTTGGCAGGATGGGGGGGAGAAAGGGAAGGAGAAAAGCCCCCAGTCAGCTGGGGGAAGCAGCCAAGGGGGAAACAAAGTGGCACTGACAGTTATTGCTGTTGCTGCGAGCTGGGGCAGGAGGTCACTTCCCAACCCACAGGAAGGCGTGAAGGTTCGCAGAAGGGAAGTGACAGGGCCATTGCCTCAGGAGGAGCTGCAAGCCCTGGGGGAGCCCGGGGCGGAGCAGAGCTGCCAGGACAAGGGGAGCAGAGTGTTGTGGGACAGCCGGAGGTGGCCAGGAGACTCCACAAAGCTCCATGAATCTGCTCCTGGGCACCATCCTGCTGCTCCTGGTGCTGCCCGGTGAGTGGTGGGTGAGGGGGACGCGGGCACCCCCAGTGTGTGTGTGGGGTGTGGGCTCGGGGGTAGGTTTTCCCATGGGAAAGTGTTGACTCGAAGACCATGGCAGGGTTTTACCCCAGAATGTGGCCAGGCCAGAAGGGAGGGTTCCCCCTGGGAGAGGGGGCAGAGGTGAGCAGAGCCGGGGGGGGGTTGCTGCTGGGGGGCTATTTCAACACCCTGGACCAGCAGCCCAGGGTCACTTCTGCGAGCCACCTTGGGGGGCTGGATGCAGTGACGTGTCAACACAGGCATGGTGGCTTTATCTCCACGAGCCCTAATGGCTGTCCAGTTGCCTTTTGAAGCCCATGTAACTGTAGGGCTGCTCTTTTCAAACCTGGCAGCTGCCAGATTCTCCTGCCTCCCCCTTTCCCTGTGGGCAGGGGGAGGACAGAACCTAGGTTTTGGGGTTTTGCCTCCCCCTTTTCCCCACCTGCTCTTCTTCCAGACGCTGCTAGGGGACAGGAGAGCTGTGCTGGTGAGTGGTCCCTCCCATCCCTGCCTCATCCCTGGTGCCCGGCTGGTGCCATGATGCTCAGCAGTCACCCTGCTCCCCTCCTCCCCAGCCCTGAGGCGGGGTGACAGGCACCACTGGTGCTGCAACATGATGGTGGAGTTGGAAGAGCGACGCAATGGGACCCCCAGCCTAGACTTGCCCCGGCGTTGCTCAGAGCTGGGGCACTCCGGCAGCCCTGCTTGCACCTGCCTGCGGGAGCGCTGGTTCAGGTAGCGGGCAGGGGCGGTCACGGCGGGGTCTGGGGGCTCAGCCCCCCACATCCCCCGGTCCCACAGCCCTTCTGCCCCACAGGCTGCTGCAGTCAGCGGGGCCAGCGCCGCGCGACAGGCTGGCCGGGCTGAAGGTGCTGCTCCTGAATGTCAGCAGGGCTGTCACCCGCGATGTCCTCATCACCTTTTCCCCCACAGAGGTGAGGTGCACCCCTCTCCCTCGCTTGGAAGGCCCTGCGCTTTCCAAGCATCCCTCAACCCCATCCCCAGGGCTTAGTGTGCCATGGCGTGCTCTTCCTCCACCCTGCTCCATGGTTGCATCATGGACCCACATCAGCTTTAGCGTCCCTTGGCAAAGAGACACATGAAACACTGCTTGGGAGGGAAGAGCCTTCCCCAGGGAGCCTTCCCACAGCAGCAGACAGGTGGTCAGGAGGAGCAAGAGGAAGAGGAGGAGGAGGAACATGCAGGACCTTGCGCCTCCTGCCCTCCCCCAGACTCTCCCACTCTCTGTCCGTCCCATGGGGTGACGGTGGGTTGGAGCTCTTGTGGTAGCTGCTCTCAGCCCTGCCCCTTTGCTGCTGGTTGCTAGGGATGGGGTTCTCCCCTTCTGTCCTCAGAGCTCCTGCTGGTGTTCCTGAGCAAAACCCAGCTGGGCAGGGCTGAATTTGTGCCTGGAGCAAGGTTGGTGGGTACGGAGCAGAGAGGTGATGCTGCCAGCAAGCAACCCCCCACTGCTGTTCTCCACCGCAGGGCCCCAGGATGCTGAACATGACAGAGAAGGGGAAGGCAGGCAAAATCCAGCTCCCCAGGGAGATATTCCGGTCCCTGAGCAGCTGGACAGCGCGCGTGGTGGTGACAGTCCTCAACATCCAGCAGCTTGGCATGTTCAAGGTACAAGCTGGCATTGCTGGCATCCCTCTGGCCACCGGCACTTGCTACCTGCTGGCTCAGCTCAGGCAGCATTGCGCCCACGCAGGAGGTAAACCAGACGGGGCAGGTCCTGAACGACACCGTGGTGGGCATCATGGTAGGAGAGAAGAGCATCTCTGGGCTGCGGGACCCTGTGCAGCTCACCTTCACCCACCAGCAGCTGCCCCGTGTAAGCCAGTTTTGCCCTCCCTCCATCTCTCCTCCAGTGCCGCTCGCCGTGGCATCGGCTGATGCCGCTCTCGCCCCTTGCAGGGTGTCACCCAGCAATGCGTCTTCTGGGATCTCAGCAGAGGTATGGTCCTCAGCGGGGCCGGGCATGGGGCCGGGTGCTGGTGCTTTGCCCAGCGCTCATGGCCATTGCCCTGTGCCTGTCCCAGGGCAGGCAGGCGGCTGGAGCAGCAGTGGATGTGTCACACAGCCCGGGGACAAGGGGACAGTCTGCTCCTGCGACCATCTCACCTTCTTCACCCTCCTCCTGGTGACAATCCCACTCCCCGCAGCTCCTGCTCATGCCCCAGCTGTGCTGCCTGCCCCACCTCGGTGACCCCTCGGGTGTCACCAGTAGCTGCACAGGGACAGCTATAGCTGCTCCCAGGCAAGCCCAGGCCCCATAATAAAGCCCAGCCCCAGCTCAGGAGGGCAGCAGCAGCTCAGCAGAGCGTGTTCAGGGTGGAAACGGCCCCCAGCCTAGAGCAGGCTCTGCAGCAGTGAGGCTTGGGGTCCTGTCTCCTGGTGGAGGGTCCCAGGAGGGTGCTCATGGTGATCCACCATAGCCTTCTCTTATCCCTCACCCCAGCCCAGGGAGCATCTCCTCTGAGCCACCACCATCCTGTTCCCCTCAAAGACTTTCTGGGGTTATGCTTGCATGAGGTCCCTACAGCAGCCCACTGAGGTTTTCAGCCCCATGGCTCTGGTAGCTGCAGTCTGGTTTTCTAGGTTGGGCCAGGGCCTGTCTAACCCAACGTGTGCATGTCTGGCAGAACCCAGCTCTGGACAGATCCACGGCACAAGCCTTGATGGCTGTTGCCACCACTGGCTGTGGGGTAGCCATGGCTTTCTCCATCTTCACCATCACCTTCTGCATCTTCTTAAGGTAGGATGTGCCAGCAGCTCACTGGGGACTCGTCAGGCTGGGACAGATGTGTGGCAGTTCCAGTGCCTGCATGAACCTGCTGTGATATCGCATGGGGCCCCACTCAGCTGTGACCCCTGCCTTCTCTGCTCCCTCCGGGGACGCTCAGGTGCAAGTTCAGGTTCGAGGAGACACTCTGCATCAACCTGGGGCTGCACGTGAACCTCATGAGCAGCCTGCTCCTCCTCAACCTGGCCTTCCTGCTCAACAGTGGGCTCTCCAGTGGGACCCAGCCATGGACCTGCAAGGTCCTGGGGGGGTTCACCCACTACTGCCTTCTCTGCTGCTTCACCTGGACAGCGCTGGAGGGCTGTCACTTCTACCTCCTCTTCGTCAAGGTCCTCGGCACCTACATCCACCACTACCTGTTGAAGCTGTGCCTGGTCGGCTGGGGTGAGCACCACCAGACTGGGCGAGAACCAGAGGGAGACGGGGGCTGTGGGTTACAAGCGGAGGGGGATCCGGGTGGTGCAGTGATGGGCAGAGAGAGAGCAAACCCCTGTCCTGCCCACAGTTCTTTGAAATGCCACTGTCAGGGCCAGGAAGTGTCTTATACGGGCTCGGTGCACCGAATTCGGGGCACCACATGCAGGCACCCTCTATCCTGCTGGGGACAAGCCTTCTGCTCATCGAGCAGGTGATGTCCTCGGGGGTCTTTGTTCCCCCATTGCCAACCCTCCATGGGCACCTTGGGGGGCACCGAAGCAGAGAATCCTGCAGAGAGGTTAGGGGACACCTTGAGCCCTGCCACCCAGCACTTTCCCTTTCTGCATCATGTCCCAGAAACCATTGTGCCCCTGGCACTTGGGTAACCTCAGCAGGTTCCTAAGCCCCATCTTCCCTGAGGTCAGCACGTCCAGGGCCCTGCAGAGACCCTAAGCTAACCACTTGGCCTTTCTGGCCTCCTCCATGTGTCTCCCTTGTTCTTCCAGGCTTGCCCATTCTTGTGGTGGGGGTGGCAGGAGTCATTGGCAGCTATGGAGAATACTGCATCCAGACCGTGGACCACCAGGTCATAGCCCGCCTGTGCGTGCACCACCACCCACAGGGCACGGGGAGCGGTAACGTGGTCCTGCCGGGAGTGCGGCAGTGGGGGTTTGCGCCCATCCTGCTCAGCTCTACGCTGCGCTTCCGCTTCCCCAATTATGATTACAACACAGCAGCTTTCTACAGCCGTGGTAATCACCACCACCACCACCTCTCATGCCAAGCCTCCCCAGTCATGCCCACAGGTCTCCAGGTCATGGATGGACATCCAAGGTCCACCTGGAGGTTCTCCAGGCTCCTTCCCATCTGAGCAACATGAGGGCAGCAGATCTACATCACTGTCGTCCCCATCCCCGTCCCCGTGTCCCATCCCCCCCATCCCCCCCCTTGTCCTCCCCTCCCCCGCCTTCACCCTGGCCTTGGAAAACCCCACCAGCATGAGGGTGTCCCTGCATCCCCAAACGCATCCCTCTGGGGAGGCTCCCATGGGTGCTGCTGGTGCTAGCAGAACCACTGGAGGCATCACGCTTGTGTCTTTTCAGGTGCTGGATAACTTCCAAACGTCTCCTGGTCCACTACATCACCAACTGTGGTTATTTTGGCCTCATCTTCCTCTTCAACATGGCTGTCTTCGGGGTGGTGACCCAGAAGAGCTGCTGCCTACAGGGCACAGGGGTGGTACGGGGGGATCGTAAGGCTTGGAAGGTGGCCCTGGTGGCAGTGGGGCTCTTCTGCCTGCTGGGAGCCACCTGGGCACCAGTGTTCCTCACCCACAGCACCTCCTCTGCACCCATGCTCTACCTCTTCACCATCCTCAACTCTCTCCAAGGTCAGGGCCGGCTCTGACATGGGCTCCCCGGGTGCGGGTGGGGAAGATGGAGGAGGCAGGAGGCAGCCTGGCAGTGGGCTGGCCAGGGGTCCCAAGGCATCAGCACCTGCCCAGCACTGTCATGCCCTTCCCTGTGGCAGGGCACGTCAAGCAGCAGGTCCCAGCCACCGGCTAGGAGTTGGTCATGGCTCCCAACCACGTCCACTCCACTGGGGGTGATTTTCCTCCAAGGAAGCCATTCCTTAGCAGAGGAAAGGGGACATTATCCACCCAGGGCATGTCCCAGCCAAAAGGCTCACCTGAAGAATAGGGAGATCCTCCTGCAGAAGCAGGAGCGAGCTGGGGGAACCCCTGGAAGCATGACGGAAGCGCTGGCAGCATCCTGGCAGGATGCTTCCCATCATCTCCTCCTGCTGCTGCTGCTGAGTGTCTGCCTTCTCTTCCCTGCAGGAATCTTCATATTCATCTGGCTGGTTGTCCTCTACTACCCAAAGACAAAGGAGACCATTGGCTCACTCTCCCACATCATCAGACATGACAAAACCGCCACAGTCTCCCAGGACTAGCTGGTGGCTTGACCTCCCTCCCTGCCTGCGTGTGCACCCACTGAGAGCAAGCTTCCATCCCAACAGATGCACCTTTCCCATGGAAGACAAGGGCTCAGCTTACTGTGCCTCAGTTTACCCTTCAGCGGGCATGATCCACCTTAGCAGGGCTCTTCACTTTGGCTCTCTCGATCCCTGTGGCCTACAGGAGCAAGGAACTCCAGAGATGTCCCTTCTGCCAACGTCCCTCAAGGCTGCAGCTCCCCTGTGGTCTTGAAGTGCCCCTGATCTCATTTCCCAGGGACTGAGATCAGAAGCTGGTTTGGCTTCCCTTGTGGGGGTGAGGAGGGAGCCCACAACCCACCTGGCTTCAGCCAGGATGGAGCCCTCTTCTCTAGAGATGGCCTTTGGTGCTGGACCAGCCCAGCAGTGGGTTTTCCTGCTGCTGGCGATGGGAGGATTGACCCGGGAGGTTCAGGTCTGGGAATCTGCCAAAAAAAAACCCCAGAGAAATCCCACAAGCTTCTTTGCTCTCCTCTCCAAATGGACCGGGGCCGAGCTCTTCGGCCAGGGATCTGCTGGACGTCCCTCCTGCAAAACACCCTTTTCTTCTCCTTATCTGTGTTTTAGTATTAAACTTCTGCCAGCTCTCTGAGCACTGTAGATTTAGTCTTTGATGCTTACAATATTGTTTGTTATTTGCTTTACATTAGGGATTTATTGATGTGCAAAAATCCTGCTGGCAGTTTGTCATGGGTGAAGGGAGACATTGGTGTGGATTGGTGCACACACACACACCTGCGTGCGCACACAGAGCAGCCCTGTCTCTGCTCATGCTGCACCTGTGTCACACAGAACCATGCAAGTCCAGCTGTGGTGGCCAAGCACCTCGTGTGGGTGCCTCCATCTCCCCGGGTGCCTGGGTGACTCTCTGGGGAGGAGGACAGCAGGAGGAAGGAACCTCCCATCCCTGGGTACATGTTTTGAGTCTAGAGAGTGTGGGCCAGGAGGGGAATGAGAAGGTCCTAAGGATGCTACAGGGAACAAACACTCCGATGTGACTCATTCTTCAAGCAACCATCAGGTCCTTCCCCCCAAAAAAACCTGTAAAGAAACAGGCAAAAGCCTCTCTGCTACTGTCACATTTATTTAGAATCAGCCGTTCTCTACGCCGTTCGCTGCCTCATGCTGACAGCAGCAGCAGCCACGGTGAGCACACCAAGCGCACACAGCAGGATGAGGGCCCCAGGGAGCCACGGGTTGGGTCCTGCCGAAGGGGAGAAAAGCTGATTACACATCTGGGTCCCCCAAGCTGGCGCTGAGCTCGGCCAGGGGGAGATTCAGAGGAGGTCATCTCCTGTGAAGTGTAAGAGCCATCGGAGATGGAGGTGCTTCGGGTCCTTGAGGCCACTAACAGGACTCAGTCACCCCAACTGGCCTCACCTGGGGCCTCCACCCACACCCACTGCCCCAAGGGCTCCATTTAGCTCGGCAGTCAGGCCTGGTCTGAGCTATGCTGTGGGCGGGCTTGCCCCCAGCCCCGGTCCCAGATTGCTGCTCAGATCTCCTGCATTGACCTTGGTGCTCAGAAGGAGCCTGCCTTGCTGGGTTGATGCAGAGGTCCAGCATGAAAACCCAGCCTTCCTCACCTGGGGTGCTGCACCAACAGCCTTCTGGCTCCTGGTCCCTTCCCATTCAGGTCCCCTGCTCAGCCTGACCTGGTACGGAGCCGCTCACGCAGAGCTAACCTCCCTGTGCTGTTTTGGCTTCCGGAGCATGCTGTGCATGGCCATGACATCTGAAAGACTCCCCGCTTCTGTTCAGGGCAGTGATTTTAGTAGCCCTTTTTAATAATCTGGCATTGCCTAGACAGTTGCAAGGGTCTGTGAGCTGCTCCAGCCCTCCTCGGAGGGACATACATACCTCCCAGGTCCTGTTGGTCAGTCTTGGAATGGTGGGTCTCTGCTCCCAAGGAAGGGACAGCCAGCAGGTGGATGGGCCCGTAGGAGACAATCTTATCGTAGTCATCTGGCAGTGCCCGCTTACCCCTCCAGGGTCTGGGGCATTGCTGTCAACAAAGCCAAGGGAAGGGTAATGGGACCAGAGGGTAGGGTAGAAGCTCGCTCTATGGGGCAAGAGCTGTCCTGGTGGTCTCCCCCTGGCAGAGGCACAGTTGGGGCTGCAGCCTGGGAGCAGTCAAGACCCCAGAACACGGGAGGAGCTGATTCCTGAAGGACCTAAGCCTGCTCCTACCCAAGTCCTAACATAAACCTCTCCTCCTGCAAATGCCCAACAGACCGAGGGAAGAGGGAAAGGAGCACTCTTGGTGGGTTCAAGCCCTCATGCCTTCAGTTCAGGGTGCTGGGGTGATCTGCTGTTCGGAGGTTTTTATTGTGCTGAGGCACCCAAAACCAGAGCAGAGCCCCATCTCCAAACAGCAGGCCAAGGGAAGGGAAGTTCCCCTGCCCGGTCAGGGCATGGTGCAGCCTACCAGTACAGCTCACCTTGGCACAGGGCTCTGGGCTGTCAGGGAGACAGAGCCGGACACGGCAGTGCAGGAACACCTTGGGGTAACCAACAAACTGAAACATCTGGAAGCTGAACTTGGCAGTAGTGCTCTCTCCGATGGCGTTCAAGTATGTCACTGTCTCATCATGGGGACACCTGGGACATGACGGCTGAGTCAGCAAGTGGCAAACAAGGGGGAGCATCCCAGCCTGGGACACCAGAGCACACAGGAACCAGGTGCAGCCCCCAAGTTTTGCTGAACACTACTATTTCTGTCTCGCTGATGGTGGGGATGCCTTTCCTCGGCACCCTGTGTTGTGCCCAGCTCAGGGAGGAGCTGCCACTAGCATAGGAGCTGGCTCGTGTCTTGCTCTGTGGGGCCCATCTGCTCTGCAGGGGTGGAGTGAGCCTGGCTGCAGCTCCCACTTCCCAGATATCCATGTTATTGGCTTGGCTGCATCCAGCTCTAATGCAAGTCCTTCAGCAGATACCTCTATGCACACCCCAGCAAGGTCACACCTCTCCCTTCCTTGCCCGTTGCCTCTCCAGCTGGCCAGGAGTGATGCTAGAGGGAAGGCAGCACTAAGGGCAGCAGAGCTGGGTCAGGAGAGGGAGTTCAGCTCAGAGCAGTTAGGGGGCTCATCTGTGAGGCTGGTCCACCTCTCCATTGATGGTGTCCACCATAGGTTCCACCTAGGATGGTGTCATTGCTCAGTGCTGCCTCACAGCAACCTGTCCTTCACACCCAGCAAAGAGAGATAATTGTGCTCATGGTGCAAAGAGACCAGACGTGCTAGGGGCACTCCACTCACCCCTTCTCAATGAGCTTGTACCGCACTTCTTGGTAGGGATCAGCACTTGGCGTGGCCCAGCAGTCCTCTACACTCAGCAGGTAGTATTTGAGCTGGTGCTGTCCTTCTATCTTCAGCAGTACATAGAGCGTGTCCGTGACAGGGATGGCTGTGGTCGGCAGGTGATAGGGCTGGAGGTAGGAGGGGGTCTTGTACAGTCTCATGCTGACATTGAAGTGTCCTTCTCTGACCATGAACTGCACCAGCCTGGGAGGAGAGGAGGAGAGCTCATGAGCAGAACGAGAAAGCAGGAAGGATGTAGCACAAGTCAGGCCACTGGCACAGGTGCACTGATGCTGCACGTGCCTCTGCTCCTGACTGGAGCCTTGTGAGACCCAGGCCTCACGGATGTCCCGCACCACATATGGACAGGGGCAAGAAGCTCCAGGGGTTCCCACTGACCTGCTAGCCAGTGAGGACTAAGAGAAAGGCAACCCAGGGGGTCCTAACCTGCACCTCAACAGGGGCCTGATGGGGGCATCTTCCAGTTCTCACCCTTTATTTTTTGGCTAGCTGGTTTCAAGCAGTGAGGATAGGAGAGAGGTAGATTGTGCATGCCCCTCTTTGGCTCTGCCCCAGCCCCAGATCTTTTGTTGAAAAACTACGTTGGGAAGAGAAAGGGAGACACCCTGACATGGTACTGCTCTCAGAGCTCTTCAGTGGCTCCCCAGGGACTTTGCAGATCACCTCATTGAAGGCATCTATTTTTCTGCAAGCTCACAGATACCATGTCAGCTGCAAGGTGAAGAGGGACCACTCACTTGTCAACAGCAGTGAGAGCAAAGGGCAGTTTCACCACTTGCTCGTAGGCGTAGATGCAGGAGAAATGCACCTCCAGCTGAAAACTTCGGGAGATCATGCCCCAACGCGCTTCCCGCTCTGACTCAATGACGTTGGAGTATGACACGTGGGAGCCGTTTTGCTGTAATGACACAGAAACCAAGTCTCCAGACCATGTCTAAGTCCATACACAGAGCTCCAAGCTCCAGTTCAAATGGTGCAACTCAGGTGTAGCTGCTCCAGGCCTCCTGGATGATTGCTGGGGTTTTTGCTCAAGTCCTGTGACCAGGGGCTACTGGCAACCATCACTGGGGTAGGCAGGAGTCAGCATAGTCACCACAGGGGAGGGCTCTTCTGTGCAATGCAGAGCTGGAGCACCAGTTCCTCTGCACCCTCCCTGACCCAAGAATCAAGTGAGGGACCAAGGGGCTATAGCCAGGGCTGCAGAGCTCAGAAGATGCTGCCAGAAAGCCGAGGGCTGTTATCAGCTAGTAAAGAGCACAGTGAGACTTCCATGCTCTGCTGAATAAGACAAGATGTGCTGCCAGCAGAGGTTTGGTGGAGCAGAAGAGCTTTCTGACAGCCCCCAGGGAAGCCTTCCAAGGGGAATGAGAACTTTACCGCAACCAGATATAAAAGGAAAAGCCTTCGGGGCTTCCCCTTGCTGTCCCCTCACAGCTTCAGAGCTATGCAGAGAGGCTCTGCTGGATCCTCACCTGAATTATTGATCCACAGGCGGTGTGGTTTTCACCTGTGAGAGTGGCTGCAAAAAACAGCTCACCCTCTTCTTCACTTTCTGAGAGCTTGCATGCCTGGTTCTTCAAGTGGACAAGCTCCCGGGGGATTTTCAAGAGTTCAAATACCTCCTTCCTCACCATCATC